CTCTCGCGTGCACGAGCAGCTGGATACGAACAGGTGGAAATTACGCAGCTCATTTACACACTTTTTCCTGAAGATAGAAGAGTTTGTTGAATCTGACGTGACATGTTCGTACGAACCCTTTGTACAAACAAAATAAGAGAAATTTAGGATAAGAATATGAACATATTCTTGCATGAGGCCCATAGTTTTTCTTTCTTTCTGGAGAGTAGACTCCAGCGGGAAGAAACCCGTGCGATGTGTTTCAGGGGCTAAGAAAGGTGTGCGAAAACGAACGTCCAACAACTACATTGTACGTCAACTGCTTCAGATCGAGAATACTGGGCCTTTTATGTGCACCAGCAGATCACAAATGTCATTGTTGGATGGACGACACGTCAACTATTTTTATTCCTGATAATCCAGATCACTCTCTCTCTCTCAATCATCTGGCATTGCACCTTTGCTTCCTTCTCGCCACAATAACTGCAGACATTTCTTTGTGCCACTTTGCTCCTGCCCTGCAAATGTGCTAAATATAGATGCAAAAACAGCTATCTCAATCAGTTACAGGTTTGATAAATCACATTGCAAGTGCTAAATAATTACATTTACATATCCTCCTTCCAGGATGCATGTTCTGATAATCATCATATCCATCCATCCATTATCTATACCCGCTTATTCCTTCAGGGTCACGTGGGTCACTGGTGCCCATATCCAGCAGTCACAGTACGAGGGGCAGGGTACACCCTGGACAGGTCGCAGGTCCATCACAGGGCCACACATACACAAATGAGACAGACAACCATTCACTCTCTCATTCACATCTATGATGAATTTAGAGTTACCAATTAACCTAACAATCATGTTTTTGGTCTGTGGGAGGAAGCCGGAGTACCCGGAGWGAACCCACGCATCATCATTAATATTCATGAAGGCAAACGCGCTAAATGGACTGCATCTGCTATTTTGCTCATTTAACAGACGCAATCCTTGGTGCACATTAGTAGATCAGCTTTGCGGGCGCTATTAGGTTTGAACATGTTTTTTTATACAAGCAAACAAGTAGAATACAAGTAGATCAGGCCACTAATGTCAGCTGATTTATCCAATCAGAAACCAGCTTTACTGTGTCTAAGGTCATTGACTTTTTGGAACAATCCAGCTGTTGGTCTGAGGTGAAGTTGTAGAATTTGGAAGTAGTAGTAGTGATCCTCTATTCACTTTGTGCACCAGTACCACACCATGCTGCAACCACCGCCATGCTTTACAGTTTGTACAGTATTTTTTTAGTTTTGAAAGCCTCACCTTGTCTCCTTTGTATACTTAGTGTCATTGTGGCTCAATTGTTCAATCTTTCAAACCCAGTGAACAGACACTCTGGTGTTTCAGCAGTTCCTCTTGGATCCTGAACATTCAAACCAATTTGTACCCCTCCTTGGGTTTTTCCAACATTCTCAGTATTGGTCAATCCTTTTAGACAAACCACCAGCTGAAGTCAACCATGACCCTTAACAACATGTTAGTGTCTGCTTTGTCAACTTCAAATACTTCAGTATCATTTAGTAAAATATGTAGAATGTACAGGGGTTAGACAATGAAACTGAAACACCTGGTTTTAGACCAGAACATCCCTTTCAGACAGCTTCCTTTTGCGTCCACAGTTAATCCAGTTGGATGTGGTTCATCCTTCTTGGTGGTATGCTGACATTATCCTGGATACCGTGGCTCTTGATACATCACAAAGACTTGCTGTCTTGGTCACAGATGCACCAGCAAGACGTGCACCAACAATTTGTCCTCTTTTGAACTCTGGTATGTCACCCATAATGTTGTGTGCATTGCAATATTTTGAGCAAAACTGTGCTCTTACCCTGCTAATTGAACCTTCACACTCTGCTCTTACWGGTGCAATGTGCAATTAATGAAGATTGGCCACCAGGCTGGTCCAATTAATACATGAAACCTCCGACACAAAAATGACAGGTGATGTGACATTGCCTAATCCCTGTACATAGTTTCATTTAACCCTGAGTGGATTAGAGGAAAACCAGAGTAAATTCAAACTTGAGCACCCAATTCTTGTTTTTAAAAATCATTGAAGTTGTTTGTTGTAAAAAGAAAGTTTCAAACAAATGCCTGAAAACCAGAAATAAGATGACATYCCTCCCCATGATGAGTGGATGTAAACTTCTGACTGAAACAGTTTCAAGACCCATCAGCCCAAAGTTAGAAGATATGAAAAAAAGGAAAACAGTTTTTGCAAATGATTGGTGGATTTTTCAAAGAATTAACACCTCCTGGACTTCTCTGGTCCAGTAAGCTCAGATAAAAAAAAAGGAGAATCATAACCCTGAATCCTGAACTTTCCTCTCACAGAAATACTACTAACGCCTACACAGAGCTCACATGGTAAACACCTTCTAACCAATCAGACGCTCTGCAGGCAAAATTACACAAAACGTTGAATCCTTGAAAGTTTACCCCCAATCCAACAGCTTTTTATGTTGGTGAAGAAGAAAATACCTGCTCTAAGGTTTTAGTCCCATTAGAATGATCACTGATAATGAGAAAGGTTTCTCCTCCATTCAGCCTGTCATTATGAGGGCTTAGTGTAAAAATGTTTTGTCATATTTCAGATATTATGCAAGCTGTAGTGATTTCTTTAATTTAGAGCTACTTGGACCGGATCGCTGACATGTTACTGAATAATGTGGATACCAGGAGTGGAAAGGGACTTACTTTCTGCGTAAGGTGGAACTGGTGTTGGTGTCGGTGCTGTCGGTGCGTTCCAGCCGCTCTCGCTCTGCGTTGGTGGAGCCGCAGGAAAGGCCTCGGGTCAGCCTGGGGTGGCCCCTCCTCTCCCTGCTGGGCCCCGGGGTCGTGGCTGACCCCGCTGTCACCTGAGATGCTGAGGCGCTCGCATTCCCCGTGCTGTTGCCGCCACCGTGATGGATGGGGAGGGTCAGGGGCTGGCTGTGGTTCTGCTCGGGGGGTTCTGAGCCAGCGGGACGTGGGCCACGCGCCTCCTGCCGGAGATCCTGGTTCTCCTGGCTGACCCGATCCAGCTGGCCCTCCAGCTCCTCGATGCGCCGACGCTGCGTCTCCAGGAGCTTGGCCTGGCTCTCGATGATGTTGTTGAGCTCCAGGAGGTACTCCACGGCCCGGTTGGGGCTTTCCGGGCTGGACTCCATGTTTAGAGCCATTCCCTTCCTCTAGGACCACCAGCTCAAGTTTTAACCCCAAAGGGCCACGATCCACCCTCCCCACCAGCCCTGATGAGTTGGGGGGAGGGAGGCACGRACAAAGACTGCTGAAAGTGACCTCTAAGTGCTTTTATGTTCAGAAACAGTAAGTCTCAAATACGAAGGAGCAAAGAGTTTCAAAACGACTACATCTCCCTAAGGATGGGAACAAAAATCAGCATTATTATAGCATCTCAGAAGATGACACAAAGTTTGCAAAGACTTGAAGACATTTTAGAGTTTAAAACGGAGCTGAYGATGGAGCGGTTTGTCTCATTTCTTGTCATTTTGACATCAGCATGGCGCAGGTCAGGAGTGTGAAGCATCAGGACTCACAATTAAATGAGCTTAATGTAAGAAATGTGGGCTTTTCAGGGAACGTTGTTAAGCTTCTTTAGCTTTAAATCCTGTTAGAGCAAAAAGAAAATTAAAATCCCATTTCCCCAACGTATTCAGAAGTTATGGCATCATCTTTGACTAAATCCCAAGTCATCTATTTAAGGCCTCCTCCTCCTCCTCCTCCTCCTCCTCGTGTGGTCCAGGGAAAGGGGATGGAGGGGTGGGGGTGACGGGGAGGTGATGCTGGTTGTGATTTATCACTTATTATCTGGTGCTGTCAATCATTACATAACACAGAAAACGTTGCTCCCACCGACGCTGAACGTCCCCCGCAGTCCGTCACCGTCGCTTTCAACCCATGTTTTCATGCGTCCTTAGAGCGCAGAAAGTGAGCAGAGGAGGGTTACAAAGTTCATCTTAGGAAGTCCAGAGCCTCCCCTCCCCGAGCTGCCAAAACTACATCCCGAAGATAGAACTTCACATCCGAAAGAGAGCGTTTCTTTCATCCGAGAATATTTCAGTTTGCCCTCAGGTGCACCAAACGAATAAATAAATAAATCTAAAGTTGCCACCGAACAACTACCCCGGACTATATTTTCTCTCAGCACTTATTAAGTCTCATTAAGTGTCGTGTCCGAATCTTAAAAACGGCACTTTTTATCTTTAACCGCCTTCGACACTGATCTTAAATGAGTCTAAACGACGAAGCARCGTCCCTTTCTACTTATCTGGACTTGGGCCGGATCAGGTCTTGCGTGTGAGCGGCAGTGAGGCGGTGGGCTTCCTCCGAGGTGGAGCAGAGGCAGCGAGAAGTCGCTCCTGGCTCGGCCGAACTGCAGAGGAGCGCGCGACTTCTTCTCCGAAGCGCATTCCAAATATGGTCAAGTCACGTCAATTAGGAGCGACTTCCGCAACAAACTTTCACAATAAAAGACGGAGTGAGGTAACTACTAATGAAAAATCTGTTTTGACACAACATGACAGGCGAGAAATATGAACGCGTTTGCGAAGCAAACAAGACTGCTCGTGTCGGTTTTAGGAAACACAAGCAGGAAACAAGCTGATGAGTGAAGTTTTGCTACAGGCTACACTGTAAAAACTTTGAGAGCAAATCCAAATGGAGAAATAAAGCTACTTGTACAAAACCTGAACTGAAATGTAAATAAACACACACAAATAAAAACTAAAAAGAGCAATTTAAAAAAATCATAAAGCAAAATGTGACAGATATAGGAAATAGAGATATTGCAGTACTATATTTCAGATAAGAAAAATATAATTTAACAACGCAACAAATTACATCTGTTCAAATGAAGAACATAGAAAATAAAATTAGTGCAAATTTGATAAATTGCTTTTATTCCTTTTTATGTTTTTAGTTTTTATATTGTTGAGCATTTATTGTGTGAGAAATGATCGTTTTCCTGTCTATTTATTTTTCTGGTTTTGCAAGTAATTTTTTTGTGCTAGTTTAGACATTTATACATAAAACCGTTCATCATACAGGAAAATAGGCATTTGTTACTTTTAGTTTTAGCTAATCTTTTGCTGATTTCAGCTACCACTAGCTTTTAGCAAGCCTTTTCAGAGTTTACCTTTTGTCTAGTGTTCCTGTCATCAGCTTTTTAACTCTAATTTTGCTCATTTCAACTTTTTTTGTAGAGTCATACTTTTAGCTTTCAGCTGAAGCTTTTAGCTAGCTTTGTGGTATTTTTGTCTTCTATTCAGCWATTAGCATCATTTAGCATTTGGCTGCTGTTAACTCAGTTTCAGCTTCTTCAGAAAATGTCAAAATGTCAATGTTAATGTTATGTTTGTATTAATTTGGTCAATCTGTGTATAAAACATTCTGTCTAAGGAGAACCAAAACTTTGTTGGATTCTGTGGGAAAGTTATGAGCTACCATGTTGCAGACGGCTCTTTGAATAAAGAAACAGAGTTTACTCTATATTGACCATAATAACAGCCAACCAGAGCCTGATCCACAGTAGATTGTTGCTCTCTGTTTATTACAAGTCAAACTTAATGTCCAAAGAGCTATCTATRATTTAAACATGAATTCTTTCCAACCCTCCCTCAGAATTTCAAAATATATCGAAGACTTTCATTTTATGAAACAAACCCCTGGATGACAGGTGTTTTATTTTGAAACTCTCTCTTGCACCTAATGTTGCAGCTTTATAAGTTTCAGTAAATGAATCCAGTGARGACAGGTGGGAAAACAATTCATAAATCCAGAGATGACAGCTCATGTTGGCTGCACATCTCCACAGTTAAAACACTAACATTTCATTTGTGACTTGTTTTCATTTGGGTTTGTCACTAAGAGAATTCATTCTTTTTATTTATATTTTTGTTTCTATATTTGATGACTTGAACAGAAGGATGCTGTTCATAAACAGGAGACAAGGGAAACAGGCCTCAGAGTTGGTGTGTTATTTTTAGAGACAGCGCTTAAGAGCTCATATGTGTGAACTGAAACGCTGGTAAATCCACCTGCTTGTGTCTCAGACCCACACACACACATTTCTGCTCTGGATGGAAAACACCAGTGATCCTGAGAGCATGTTTTTAATCATTCATCTGTGTAAAATAATCAGTTGGATGTTTTTACTGGGAACACTAAATATATCTTCACTGATCAGTCATTCATTGTCCACCTCATCTGCAATCAGTAAATCTCAGCCTCTTTAAAGCCCATATAGAAACACCTCATCCTATCAAAATACCATCATGTACTTTTTTTAATCAACCTGTACATGCTGGGTTTTTGCTGCCACCTGCTGTTCATTATTGTGGCATAAATTCACTTAATAAAAAAAAATATCCAAGACCACTGCAGGAATTTATCTCAGCACTTTATTTGCACTTTACAGTTCATCTAAACGTTCACTCTTTTCAAAACAAACGTAAAAAATATTGCAAACTTTACAAAAAAACAAGTCTTCCACAGAAGCTACCACTGTCTGGTCATTATTGGGTGGTGAATACAGTGTTTGGTTAGGTTTTTTTTATTTTAATATATACTCATTCTTAACCAATAAAGTGGCCATGCCAAGCAATCTGATTTCATTCAGAGGGTATGACTGAAATGAAATCAAAATGATAATAACAGTCTGTGCCTCCCAGTGCTGCTGTAATAAATCAACTGAATATTGCTTTTGATGTTTAAATAAAGTGAGTTCACTTTGTGGGATGAAAACGATGCGAAGTCACTCGTTTGCTTATCCTCCTTAATGGCTTATCTATAGAGCAAAGTATCAGAAAACCTGAGTTTATCAAAAGATTTCATAGAAAAATAACATCTCACAGTATTCGTTCAGCTTAGCTCCTACGTGTTTTGTTCATAAGAGAAGGTTTTCTTTTTTTTTTAAAGTCAGCAACATAAAACGATGTGTTATTCCGTCATATCAGAGATTCTGCAGGTTTGTCTTTGTTTTTTTGGCATGGCTGAAATTACTTAACGGCCCACCCATCTCTCATAATAGACACCTCGGAGCAAAAAAAGATTGTTACAGTAAGAAAAGAAAAAAACATCAGTGGTTAGGATAAAGTGGTTTGTTACCAAGGCAACAGTACGTGGCACGATGGGCACAGCACTCTCTGGAATCTAGACGGTGGTTTGATTCTAACCCCACATACACCATTTTAACAGTACAGGAAATATGCACGTCAGATGCATATCTTTTTTTGGCATCTTTTGCTGATTTCTTGTGTATACAAGAACGTCTGAAACAAACTCAAGCAGCGTTTTTCTTTTTTTTTTTACAAAACATTCATGTATGACGAGGTCGGGTCCTAAATGTGTCTTTTAAATATTGAGCTGGGGATCAAATTTTTACGTCACATATTTTATATATCTTTTACTGCATATATTCAAATATATAATCTTGTTATGAGTGTTACAGTAGTCATACAAACCGGGGCTTTTTTACGTGTAGCATTTACAATATACTAATTTCTCTAAAGATATTTACAGGATATAGATATAGATTTCACACCTGCTTCCAAAAGGGATTGCATCATCACAATCAAACATCTGGTTATATGGAGTAATGTCACGAGTAGAGACAAATGTTGGGACACACACAGAGGAAGCGGTACAAACAGGTTTTACTGACTCAGACCACATGGATATGAACGCTGCAGTTTTATTGCTCAGTATCTCGGTGAGGTAAAAAACTCTTTGATGCCTTCCAGCAGGTAAATGGTAGACGGCCTGACTGGAGCTGATAGGTGAGCGACGACACAAAGCAAAACCCGGTGAGAATGGCGGCGGTGCTTGTCGGGAGGGAGAGAGATGCCACTTTACAAACTGAAAAGTAATTCAACGTCAGCCAGAGATCAGCTGCAAAAAGGCACAAAGAATAAGAGTTTTACTGCAGGTTTTAAAGTGACTCTGAGGAAATGTTGCAGAATACAAGCCTGACTGAATCAGAATCATTTAGCTGCTGCGTGTTTTAGTTCCCCAATTAAAAAGTTCAAGAGACGGTGCTTCTTCTTCCCCACCTGCGCTCCTCTAAAGCCAGCCTCCGCTGGGTGGGTGTGAGCCAGGGGCCCGGCTGCACCCTGCGGGCCGCAGACAGGCCTGAAACAGTGGCGGCAGAAAGGCTGCTGCCTGATTGGCTGCCTTCAGACTCGGACTCGGTGTCCCCCAGCTGCTTCATAGACAGCGAGGAGGTGAGGAAGGAGAAGGACTTTCTGTGTGACGCTGGATCTGTGAGAGCAGCGCCTGGTAAAGGATTCTCAAAGCTCACAGAGCGTGCGTTGTGGTTTTCGTCTTCTTCATCGTCATCATCATCATCGTCATCATCATCATCATCATGTAGCAGCGTGCTGTCGCTCTGAAAGTCCTCCCGCTCCTTCTCCCTCTTCAGTTCCCTGTACCTCCTGGCCACGCCCCAGTCCTCTTCAGACTCCGCCTCCCAGTTCTTGTTGGGTCTGGGAAGCTTTCGGGTTTGGTTTGGGATCAGAAGGAAAGCATCGTCTTCGCTTTCTTCAAACAGGACTCTTCCTCGCCTCTCTTCTAACCTCCTATCCACCCTTTCCTCAACGGCACGTGCCCTCTGCTTCTCCTCTTCTTCGAACTCCTCACTCTTTACGGTCACCTCGCTCTTCCTGCTCCTGCTTCTTCTCTCTGCATTTCTGCTCCTCCCCCTCTCCTCATATCCTCTCCTGCCCCTCGCCGTCCCCGCCTCCTCCTCCTCCTCGTCATCCTCATATGCCCTGGTAACATCTCTGGGTAAACTCTGAGATCTTATTTTCCTCCTGGCGCCCCGGTCCTCCCGAGACCTCGCTCTCCGCTCAGAAATAGGGTTTTGTAAAACGGAGCGCTCTCCTACTGAGCTCCGTCGTCTCATTCTCCTTGTTCTCGTCCCGGTCCCCCTCTCGTCCCCTTGCGACCTGCTTCGCCTCCTCTGCATGGCGCTGGGCCCCCTCCTGATGGTGGAGGTCACTGTAGCCACACTCTGCTTTCTGGGGTTGTACAGGAGGGAGGGGGAGGTGAGTCTGTGCTCAAGGGCTGGACAGACAGGGAGGAAGCAGCAAGAGAAAACAGACTCAATAGGCAGGCAAGAAACGGGGAAACCAATATGTCTATTAAAAAGCTCTTAGCTCAGAAAATGTATTCTAATAAGGCTTTTGAGGTCAGCTTACTTAAGAACAGCTGCTTTTCTATTTTAGTGCTGAATTCATTAGTGATTCCAAACATTAAATTAGTGTTTTGCCTTATAAATGTGCCATTATGCCATTTTACAATGCAAATTCAAATAAGACTGGAGGATTCTGCTTAGAGGTTAAAGGCAGTGAACATATTTTACATTCCTTTTTAATTAAAACGATGAGCATATAAAGTCAAAAATAGGGCAACATTTTATTTCGTGGTGGACTGGTGGCTGGTTTATATGACAGAGGATTAGGGCCACACAACAAGATTATTTTAAACGTTTTTTAAATTACGAGAATAAAGTCATAATATTACGACGTTAAAGTCGTATAAAAATAAAGTCATAATATTATGAGAATAAAGTGTAATATTACAAAATTAAAATCGTAATATTACGAGTTTAAAGTCGTAATATTATGAGAAAAAAGTCATAATATTCTAGCCTTTACATGAAAAAGCATGCAGTTACCACTGCATTAAAATGAGGAAAGTTGAGCAACTTGTCAAGTTGTTCTTTTGTATCGCTTAAAATAAATAGTTAATCTTTTGGCACATTAGCATCAAATTATCAGTAGCAGGACTTGGTATTGTAATTACTGGATGCATTGACGGATTTAGTCGTCATGTAGCTAATTTGGATGAAATTATATTAATCTAACAGTGACGAGTCATTATGGACTACTTGATAAACACAGAGACATGGCTGTACAGCAGGTGTGTGGAAAATAACGAGGAAATGAGGAATGGGAAATAGAGACGTCATGATTATGACTTTTCCCCCCTCGTAATTGTAATTGTTCTGAACCACACAGCAGCAGCAATAATCTTTGTTTTAGTTTCAGGAGGGCACAGCTATTTCTGAAACTAACACTTTCCTTGATAATTTCTTTTTCTAATCTAACCTTCTGGAGGTTGGACCATAGATTCTCTAAGCTTTAGAAACTAACAGTTTGGGCCCGTCCCAAAAAAGAGAGTAAAAGGTGACTGACCACCGTCAGTCACGGTGACAGCTAGATTCTCTCCGGGAAATCAAAAGCTGAAAACTGTGTCAGGTTTGGCCCCTTCATCGCCAACGGGGAAACCTCACAGTGTGGAAAACCAACGCCTGGTTTATCCACCTTCAGAAACTCTCCAGACGGAAGTTTTATTCTGAAACCTGGGTTCCAGTTGAGGCTTTGCCTTCTTTTTACAGCTGACGTGGACGTAAACGAGTCAACAAAACATGCCTTGGGGTCCCCTGTTCGACGGTCTAAAGACAGATTCTCCAGCAGCACCCTCATCTACCTGGCAGGTGACAGAACATCATCTCAAGGTAAAAGCTGGCTGTGTGTGACGTCGAGGTCTGACCAAAGCTGAGCATAGAATGCTTCACCCTTCTGGTTAAAACCCACATTATTTAACATAAAAATGTAAGAAAGCTAACATCTTTCTTCCTCCTTTCTCTTAAACTCTTCCTTGCCAACCCTAAGATAAACTTGCCTCAAATGTCTGGTATTTAACATCTAAACTGACGTTTGTGTTTCTATATAAGTGTGGTCAACAATTAAGAAGTTAAAAGCTTGTTATTATTGGTCCCAAACTTTTATAGGAAATTAATTATTCACAATCAGGTGTACTCTAGTCAATTTTGTATGATTTGTAAAATAAATGATCGCATATTATGGTTCAAATCAACATTCACTGACTGAGAGTTACTTTTTGTGTCCATTCATTCTTGCCCTAAAGAAATGTTTACCCCAAAAAAAGAGATCCCTTGCTAGTTAAATTACTCTTATAACCTTGTTATAAGAAGTGTAAGTTAAACCCTTACATAATATTATGACTTTAATCTCGTAAAATTATGACTTTAATATCATAATTTACGACTTTAATCTCGAAATATTATACTTTAGTCTCATAATATTATGACTTTATTCTCATAAAATTACGACTTTAATCTTGTAATAATAATAAAAAAAACTTGTTGTGTGGCCCTAATACTCCGTCGTAGGTTTAAGAGGATGTAGAGAGGCAGAAAATGGGAGAACTAACAGGAACCATTACCAACCGCGTATTCTCTGTCCGTCCAATGACATAGAAGCAAGGCTCGCCCAGTTTGGAGTTGGTCATACAAAGAGACAAACTGGAGAGCTCCACTGAGAGTCGAAGAGAAGAAGGGAAAGAGAGGAAACAAAAGAGTTGGACAGAAGAGTTTCAGGGAGGAAGCCAAGAAGAAACATCCCGCAGAGGGGAAATGTGGCATGGAATAATACAAGCAAAGAAAAATGGGATTAAATGAGCCAAAAGATGGGAGAAGTTAGAAAGTGGGAGACACCAGAAGTAGAGAGGAGCGTAAAAAGAAGTAGAGAGCATTTTGGTTAGACTACATTTAACACAGAGAAGGAAGAGAGAAGATAAACCCCACAGACATGCACTTTCCAATCCCAAGAGGTTTAACAACATGATGCATTCAGATTCGTTTGTTCAGTTTTACCATAATCGGGCACGTAGCCGTTTCCTCTCTTGAGAACCAGGTGGATGCGTTGGCCTCCTCTGCGGATCATCTCGACAGCCTGACTGTGGGTCATCCCGGCCGTACTGTCCCCGTTTATCTCCACCAGCTGATCGCTCACCTGTGGCCACAACATCGCTGTAATCTCTCTCTTTTAATCCCAAACTGTACAAAAGTCCCACTAAAACCGTCTCATCAGGAATCATTTTGTTACAGTCCTGATAAATACCACAGGAATGTTTTCTTTGACTAAACTTTAATAAAGCTGAACATAAGTATCAACATTAACCAAACAGGGGTCTCTGCAGTAGATGGGGGGAGTTTCTTGGTGTGTGGGTGGAGTTTGGTGAAACCATGATCGAGTGGATTGACTTGTGGGCAAGTTAAAAGATGAAGTAATGATAATAGTAAAATTATCCTGAACATGTAAATATCATTTATTGACTGTCTATGTTCTTAAACAGAACAATGTCTCAAGTAAAAATCAATGTAAATATAATTCATTGCCTTCAAAAGTGGTGCGACTAGCACCTTCCTGTCTGCAGTGTTGACTATTATTATTA